ATCTGCCCATTGGAGTCACGACAGACGTGTTGTCAGTGTCTCTCCTGGAGCTGAAGGATTTGGCTGAAATGAAAAAAAAAGGTTGTCCGTGATGTTGTTGACAAATGTCTGCTGAGAGAGCGGTCAAGAAAAAAAGCCACTAAAATGAGCAAAACGCAGTCTCAGTCTGCCAGGGCTAAAATCCAAAAGCTGTGTCCAAAACACGTCCGCACTCGCAAGCTCTCATTTCAGGATACCTCAACACAGCCACACACTAAGTACACTCTTGTATTTCTATCTGTGGGTCACTCCAGGAACCTTATTATTCTCTCATTAGATGACTAGCGCCTGTTTCCTGTTTTCTGTCTGTTGAGGTGAAACAATTTAATCAACATCGGTTCAGAATATTAAATGAAATTTAATGAAGAGACACAAAATACATAACTGAATTGCTCAAATTGAATTACTTTATTATCTTTGGTCAATTGTGCACACACACACACACACACACACACACACACACACACACACTGTCTAGACCCTTTTAACACTGACCGGGAACTAGCTAATGCCCTGAACAGTTTTTATTGTCGGTTTGACGTTCTGGATTTTAGCGGGGAACGGGAAATCCTGAGGGAGAAATGTAAGGATAGTGAGCATTTTACAGTTGACATGGAGGACATAGGTAGGGCCATCAGAACAGTCAGAGTGAACAAGAGCCGAGGACCAGATGACATTTGTGGCCGCTTACTTAAATTCTGTGCATTCCAGCTGGAATATATATACTGCACCACATTTTCAATGAATCTTTACGGTTACAAAAGGTCCCTAAAATATGGAAGGATGCAGAAATCGTACCGATTCCTAAGGTGAGACATCCAGGTATTTTAAATGATTTCCGCCCTGTTGCTCTAACTTCCATTTTAATGAAAATCTTTGAAAAGCTGGTTAGATGCGAGCTTTTAAAGCAGACACAGGGACTGCTGGATCCTCTACAGTTTGCATATCAGGCTGGGAGGGGTGTGGAGGATGCAACGGTCACTCTGTTAGATATGCTTTTTCATCATCTGGACTTAGTAGGAACTCATGCTCGACTCCTCTTTGTGGACTTTTCGTCCGCTTTCAATACAATCCAGCCTCATATTTTGGTTAATAGGCTAGAGGAACAGTTTCACCTGAGTAAAAGCATGCTTGGGTGGATACTAGACTTTATGATCAACAGAACACAAAAGGTCAGAGTGAATAGTACCATGTCGGATACGAGAACTGTGTCTACCGGATCTCCTCAGGGCTGTGTTTTGTCCCCGTTGTTGTATATTTTATACACTAACATGTGCCAAAGCAAACATGAGAGAAGGACAGTTATTAAATATGCTGATGATTCGGTAGTTGTAAGTCTCCTGAGAGAAGGGGAATACAGCCATGGACCTGTTCTTGATGATTTTATCTCTTGGTGTGATGAATCATATCTACAACTTAAGGTAATTAAAACTAAAGATATGATCATTGATTTTAGTAGGAAGCCTCAACAACAGCATGATCTTTCCATAATTAAAGGTTAAACTATTGAGCAGGTGAAATCATATAAATATCTGGGGACAATTATTGACAGGGAGCTGAATTTTGAGGAAAACTGTGATGCTGTGGGTAAGAAAGGCCAGCAGCGTTTGTACTGCCTTAGAAAACTGGCCTCATTCCATGTGGACAGGACTATAATGTCCATGTTCTATTGTTCTTTTATTGAAAGTGTTTTATCCTTTTCCTTAGCCTCGTGGTTTGGCCAGGCAAATCTTAAACAAAAGGAAACACTGAACAGGATAGTAAAGTGGTCGGGTCGCCTGCTTGGAAAACAAGTGAAAAGTGTGGCACAACTGCACAGTGGGCAGGTAGAGAGGATTGCCAACGCTATTGTTAGAGACACGGGCCACCCACTGCATGCCCAGTTTGCCCTCCTGCCATCAGGACGGAGATTTATTGTGCCTAAGTGCAGGACCAAGAGGTATAAAAGGAGCTTTATTCCTGAGGCAGTAACAACTCTCAATAAGAAATGAGTCTAGCGTGGCTACTTTACTTGATTTTATCTCTATTTATTCGTGGATTGTTTTTATACTTTTTGTATTTTTATGGATGTGTGTATATTTTGTGAGTGTGTGTGTAACTGGGCGCTAATTCTCATGTCACATGGCAAATCAAATTTACCTTCGGGTACTAATAAAGTTACCTTGACCTTGACCTTGACACACAAACACACACAAACACACACAAACACACACACACACACACACACACACACACACACACACACGCACACACACACACACACACGCACACACACACACACACACACACACACACACACACACACACACACACACACACACACACACACACACACAGATGAAATAATAAAGGCAGGGAGATGTAAACAATGGCCTTATTTTATTATGATTTTATGGTTATCTGTTATATGATTGAAATGTAGTTTTATAGTTAAAAACATTAGTAAATTAAAGATTATAAAACATATCGACATACTGAAATATTGCAACATTTTGTGTCACCATTTTTCATTGAGTGCTTTGCAAACATTTACTGTCTTTTTTTTATGTGGAGCTTCATTCTGGTGGAACAATTAGATCTCGTGATAAAACTGGGTGTGTCTGTCTGGCCTGGGTTTTCCAATAATACTCAGTCTTAAAAATTTGAAATATCATCTGACTTTTTGTGTCCCAATATATCCTATCATCCCCAGTGTACTGTGATATGTTTCTGATTGACAGACTCTTGCCAACACATACTACTAGTGAAAATATCTAAAAGTGATTTTACAGTCTGCAGTACTGAGATTCTCCACCAGGGGCAGACGGTATGTGTAGGATTCATGCATCAGGTTTTAGAGATGTAAAGTAGTAGTACTAGAACTAGTACTAGAGCCCTTGGAAACATATAAGCAGAGACTTAGGCCTAGTCTACACGTAGCCGGGTTTTTTTAAAAAACGAATATCCGCCCCTCCAAAAACTTGCATCCACACCACCTCGTTTAAAAAAAACAACTCTGTCCACACGTACCCGGATAAATACGTTGTTAAGGACATGCCAGACCTGTAGGCGGCAGTACTTCCCCCGTTCTTAACCTCGTCCTTCGCCTGTGGTCTTCCGCAAGGAGCAGTAATTCCGCTTGCAAAAACAAACAAGCAAAAAGCGCTTGGACAATTGATAAAGCGAGCGCAGCTCTGAGGGCATCCATGATGCCGGCTAGTGTAAACACAGGTCACAGACGTGATGTCAGCATTTTTTGTTGCGGAAAGTCACGTTGCAGACCTTAAAACTCCGGTTTTGTCTGTCCACACGCAGACACCCAAAATGGAGAAAACGCAGATCTTCACTTTGGCCGGAGTTTTAAAAAAGATCTGTTTTAGTGTGAAAAAACTCAGTTTTCGTGTGGATGACAGGCCAAAACGTAGAAAAATATCTACGTTTTGGCAGATCCCCGGCTACGTGTGGACAGGGCCTTAGGCCAAATCTCAATAAATGGCCTGTATCTGATATAGAGCCTTCTAGAGTCCTGGAACCCCCCCAAGGCACTTCATTCACCCATTCACACACACATTCACACGCTGGGATGAGCTACAATGTACAGCTGGGGTGCACTGACAGAGACTTGAGGCTGCAGAGCACTGGCTCCACCGGTCCCTCCGACCACCACCACCAGGCAAGGGGGGTTAAGGGTCTTGCCCAAGGACACAACGACAGTGACAAACTGAGCGGGGCTTGAACCTGCAACCTCCTGACTACGGGGTGAGCAATCAAGCCCTGTGCTACCGTTGCCCAAAATCTCAATGCTCGCACTTCCACTAGCACCCTTGAATTCTGCGATCCCGACCAAGGGTGTGAGTGCGTAGTGTCCTGATTCTTAAGTGCAACGGTTGATCACGCTCCTTTTGCACCCTTGATCCACACTTCGCCCAAGTTCAAACTTGGGCGAAGTGTATTACACACAATCCATTGGTGCGGGAGAAAATGCTCAAGTGCCTTTTCTGAACATGTGTATTTTCTAATGACAGTAGTTCATTTTAGGATGATTAATTGATGCTCTAAAACTTCTAGGAAAAGCAGCAATGAATGTAAATTTATTTCGAATAATCGTTTGGTTGTTCGTTTGAAAGTTGTTAATAAAGGTTTTTTTAAAAAGTACAGTAACCAGCGTTGCAGTCGATGACACAATGCTCACTGTTCCATTTCAGCAATTATTTGCACACTTGTGTACCACAAACTCGAAGCCTTACTGCACAGTTCTGTCAAGCGCACTTCACAGAACACGGTAGGGTGAAGTATTGTGATTGGACCTTAGACCCCCTCCCATGTATTTTAGATCCAATTTTTATGGGTATTTGTTACAAAGCCGCCAATATTTTTTCAAGAGCTGGGCGTCATTCTATTCATTTTCAACAACATTTCGATGGATATTTCCAGAAATCGACGGTAAAAACTACACTGTGTCTCTAATTTTACCACTTTATTGTTTTTCTTAACTGGTTTTTAAGACTTGGACTGGAAGCTTGCTGTAAAATAATTGGTCTCCATGCTTTAGATGGTTCCAAAACCAAAATACCAACAAAAACACACATTGACAGACATGAAACAGTATTTTAGCAAAAGCAACGTGATTCCCACACAGCTGTGGTAACTTTTCTCCCCCCGCTTAAATATAACTCAGCAAATGTTATGATTAAAATGAACAGTTTTCTTTGACTGAATGCCTGACAGTTGGAAAAATAAACGCCTTCTGACAGACCAGAGACGTGCACGCTGATACCCGCTGACAGGTAAAACAAGGAGATTTTCAAAAAAGTATTGAAACTGTAGGTCCAATGTTTGTGATGTTTAGCGACTCACAAACGCATCAAGCTGCAGGGAGGGATGGAGGGAAGATGGACTTTCTGCAGTGTTTCAATAATCATAAAACTGAAACAAGTCATTAAAGTGAATTTGCTTTTGTCCCTTTTGTCTCTTTTCTACAGGCTTTAGAAACAGCTGATCACAGCCATCCGTCTGTCCCGCACACACCAAACCCACTCATGTCCATCAGTCACAAGCTTTTCTGAGACTCCTCCAGTCGGGATGTACTTCAGCCTCGCTGCTCCTCTCCTCTGTCTGCTGCTCTGTGCACCTGTGGCTGACATGTGCTTGGCTTATGTCACCCACAGCAGCTTTATCCCTTATTCCTGCAGCCAGGAACCACAGCCCTGCAGCGCCTCCTCGCTTACAGACTGCAGGTGCAAAAACATCCAGCTCTCCTCTCTGCACTGGCCTCTGTCGCGCTCCACTCCTGTTTTTCAGAAGAAACATTTAACCGTTTGGTTCACGTCGCCATCCAACGTGGTGCGTCTGCTCAACAACTCCGAAGTGAGACACCTCACGCTTATCTACTGCGGTCCTCCAGGAGAGGCCAGGAGGACAGCCTCGCTTCCTTTGAAGGAGCATTTTGCTGTGCAGAAACTGGAGAGGCTGACACTGTTGAACGTGCCAGAGAGGCCTTTTCATCGGTGCTCAGATGCAAATAGAGTCAAAAGCACAAACACTGACCTGAACAGTGATTTTGGCTTTTATTTTGACTCAAACAGATACAACAGGGACAAAGACACTAATGTGGACTTTGCCGTAGACTCAGTGAGAGATTCTTTGACTGCGTCCCCAGTCCAAGACATCCACCTGGGCAGGGAGCTCGGAGCAGCTTTTCATGAACAGGCCAGGCTGGGAATCATCCACAGCTCTGTGCTGGACTGGGGAGCAGTGATCAAGGCCTACACGGTCCAAACACACATAGACGGAGATGGTGTGCTGCCTTTCCCCGACCTCCACCTGGCAAAACTACCGGAGACGTCCGTCATATATGTCAGCTTTGTGTACTGATAAACAAAAGGATCCAGTGTTTAAGGCACATGCTTTATTTTTGGTCTTCAACCGAAAAGCAAAACTAAACCTTGGGAGAATTAAGTTTAATGTTTTTCTTTGGAAAACTATTTGGTTATCATTTGTAAAATATGTATTTATATTTTAACTATTTATTCTGCATGTTTCAGTCTTAGATCTAGTTTTTGCTGAGAAACAACAGAGCTAATTTCAGTGGATAGTGGGTCTTTCAGTTCACCTTTGACCTCTGGTTACCTTTTTGATCAGGAATTAAACTTGTTCCCTTCTCAGACTAAACCGCTAGGTGGCAGCAAATACAAATGTTGGGTGTGGGGAGCAAACATTTTTATAAACATATTTAACAGATTTTTTTTCTTTTTCTTTTTCATATTTATACGGAAGTCCCAATATTATTAAGAGTTAATAACGAACGGGTTGGGTATTTATAGGATTTAAATTAACAGCACCACGATTTGTTTTAGTTCACCTCTGCAAATTATTTAGTTTTATTGATTCTGTGTTCATACTTCACAAAGTGCACAAACTAACTTAGACAAATTGTATACGTATATTTTAAAATATTGCCTACATCTGGCTTTGCACACATAAATCCTTAGAATTAATATATTTTGTAAATTTCCCTTTTTTAGCGAGTAAGAAGAAAAATCACATTTACGGGCGCCTCTTATCAGACGCATCCGCATATTTTAAATATGTAAGTTGTTCTGGGAGCATGTTGGTGTGTTTAGGAGGCGCAGCTGCGTGTGTCTGCAGACGCTCCTGTTTGTTTCTGTCCTGTTTAAAGATGCTCCAGCCGCCTCTGCTGACACCTGCTAGAGAGCTGCTGATTTACATGATAAACGCGCTGAATGCAGACTGATACAGCCTGTTGATCCCTGCACCTGAGAGGTCAACCCCCCCCCCCCCCCCCCCCCACACACACACACACACACATGAAAACGCAAAGACCTAACTAACTCTAGCAAGACAAACAGTCCGAAACAAATCACGTCTTCTCAGAGGGACCACCCTGAAAGCGCAGTAAATAATTATTCCACAAAGGTGGACCGGACCGAACCGGACCGGACTGCGCTCCTCTCCAACTGCGCCTTCAGCCCGCTGCCGCCGTCTCCTCACCGGCAGCTCAGCAGTAAAACATTTTTATAATCAGACGTTATTGTTCGCCGCCTCCTTGTGGGAGATGCGCCCATATTCATTTTTTAAAAGGGCAAATCAGCCATAATTCAGTTTATAAACTGCAGCGCGCGGGGGAGAAATGCCTGGATGAATATTCATTAGAACCCGCCCGAACTGCCATGGCCGGTGATTCATTAGGCATATGTAAATATCACTCACTTTAATTGGCCCTAAACTGACTCAACATAATGTTGTCATTAGCAAATTATTACTTATTTGTGAAACTAATGGTGCGGTATGGCGCCAGAGCCGAGCAGCCACATATATGATTGTAATTACAGGCCTTTTTATTCACAGGGTGACTGAAGGAACTGATGGATGTGTGTGTGTGTGTGTGTGTGTGTGTGTGTGTGTGTGTGTGTGTGTGTGTGTGTGTGTGTGTGTGTGTGTGTGTGTGTGTGTGTGTGTGTGTGTGTGTGTGTGTGTGTGTAACAGTTAATTTCCCAGACACATGGACGATTTGAGTCACCAAACACCACGCTCATAAACCTGGTTTATTTTAATGTTTACAGTAAATCAATTTTCCAGAAACGCTTCCTTCTTCATTTTAATCCCAGCTTTAGTGTGTGAGTGTGTGTGAGTGTGTGTTCATAAAATTAACTGAAAATTAATATTGTTAAAAAATGTATGTATTTATGCCTCAGTGTATTAACAACAAATAACTATCATAATTTTACGTTATATAAAAAAATCTGCCACCAACTGGATGAAATTATGGGGTTTAAACAGGCCCCAATAAATCTGGGGTAAAAATGAAGCCAAGTGACAGAAATTGCAGTTCCACTCTCATCCACTAGGAGCTGGCACCAGAAGTGAGCAAATCCTACTTGACTCCCATACTAAAAATGCCAATTTCACAGCAGAAATAAACATGTTTACAGCCTGGTCCAAAAAACCATTTTAGGTTTAACAGATCTAGTTTACGTTCAGGGTTAACCCAGAATGGTAAATGTGGCTGGTTATGCTGGTGTGCTTCTTTTTCGGTGTTTTTTGGTTTGCTTGGTTTTTCTTTTTTTCTCCATAACTGGTGAATCAGCAAATTTACACATTCTCTGTTTTCCATATGTTGTTTTGTTTATTATATATATATATATATATATATTTCAAATGTTGTTCGTTTAATTTAAGATTGAAAGAAAATTAATTGAATACGAGGTAAAACCTGGGGGTAGGGACAAATAAGTAAATACTTCTGCCTACTCCTTTTCAAACAAATAATGGAATTATATTTTGTAATGATACATGTGTGAAATGTTTGAACTAAAAATGAACTAAACTGAACTGAACATTCATGATGACTTTGAGGGGATGAATTTTTTCATAACTTTTCTGTTTAAGTGTAATTTAATGCTTAAATTTCTGAATAATTAATGAGCATCAGAGCCACTGACTTCAAAGCTAGCTCCAAAGGTCTCAGCCTGGGCCTCGTCCTCGACCTCTTGTTAATAGATGTTCGGCCATTTCGACTTTCTGAACTTTAGTTGTGTCCTCTGTGTGTGTTCTTGTTTGGATGTTAATCATGGAATTATTTGGACACAGAGAGCAAGCTGTGGTTATTGACTGCACTAACAGACCATCCAAGCAGTTTCTGCTTATTTTTTATGAGTAAGTTTAATTATATTTCTGTACTTTATTTTGCTAGTTGTATTCAACTGCTTAGTCAAAGTTGCCTTTACTTTTAAGTGGCTCTACCATAATTTTCTTGCTAAACCCAGAAAAACCCCAATAGCTTCGGGTTAGCGTATAGCTAGTGTCCTGCTGATCTCCAACCATGGAACATGAGCTGATGTAAAGGTCATGGCGCCCAGCTACAATCGCAGCGGTCTGAGGCTCTGCTTGTAATTTAACAGTCCCGGTCCATATTAGATCTCCACAGGTGACCAGCATGACTACAGCCTCGCACGTGCAGGTGGGCTGCGAGTCCACTGAGTCCACTGATCTCAGGCTCAGGGGGAGAGAGTACCAGAGTCTGGGGGCCACAGCAGCAAATGATCTGTGGTTGTGCAGGTGTGCGTGCGTGTGTGCATGCGTGTGTTCTCTCTTCTCGATCCCCAGGGAGTCGTGGTGGATGGCTGCTTATACTGAGCCAGAATCCTCTGGAGGTTTCTTCCTGTTAAAATGGAGTTTTCCTCTCCACTGTTGCTACATGCTTGCTTAGTATGAGGATTGCTGTATAGTCACTGACACTAGTCAATGACTTGATGCAATTTGCTGGGTTCCTTATATAGGAAACATTTTACTGACTGGCTTAATGAACTCAACTGTCTTAGAATGTGTACTGTGTGAAGTGCCTTGAGATGACTCTTGTCATGATTTATCACTGTAAACTAGATCTATTGAACCTAAAATGGTTTAATCAGGCTGTAAACATGTTAGTTTCTGCTGTGAAATTGACATTTTAACATGAGAGTCTTGACATTAAAAATGACATTTTACAGTTTTTCTCAGTTGCGTTGGTGCATTTCTCACAGCAGAATTGATCTCTGCACCACTATTAAGGCTTTTCTCAAAACAATTAGTGCAAACTGCAAAACGTGGTGGATAACTTGCAAAAGTGAGTCACTTCATCAAAAAGAAAAGTCAGTTGTTCAAAATAAGTAGTCAATGCTTCAAAAGCAAGTCTCAATCAAAACAGATAATGCATTCATCAAAAGCAAGTACTTATATCAATCAAAGTGTCCGGGCTGTCACAATTACAAGTTAATACACCAGCACCAATTGGTCACAAAATCAAATGGTTTGAACATGTTCTCATTGTGACGGATTTCTTTGTAGGTGCTTCCCAATGACGTGTCAAGTCTGGACAGCATGCATGGCATATTGAAAACCATAAATTGTAAAGGAAAATCAAGACACTTCATATGCATTTTTGATAATATTTAACTGAAACTGTTCACAGCATTGTGCAACTGGGGAAATACAGTAAAACAAACATTTTACAGCAAACATAAACTCAGACCGTAAACCTTACTGCAGTAGTTATGAAACAAACAAAAACTAACTGAACATACACTGCTGCATATCAATCATTGATATCTAGACGCTCCCGTCTGTCTGCCCACATAATTTCATCAACATCACACGGAATGTCAGCTCTATCGATGCATCGGGGAAAGTATCTTCTGGAGTGTCGAATCTACCCTCTGCAGGACTCTGCTGTGATGTCATCACAAGCTGCATCCATAGCTGCTAGCAGGGCCATTTGGGTATGTGGATGTCTGTCATATACCTTCCACCTCCAGGAAGAGAGAAACTCCTCAATTGGATTTAGGAATGGAGTATAAGGAGGAAGAAACTCCATAAGCATCCTGTCGTATGCTGCAAACCACTGCCTGACTACAGCAGAGTGATGGAAGCTAACATTGTTCATGTAACAGTGTTCATGCCTTTGGACATGAAGCAGTTGAGTAAGCACAAATGTCTAAAGAATGGTCACTTTTGACTTGCTATTCATCACTATGAAATGAACATGAAACCACCACTAGGTTGTGCCAAAATGACTACATGTTGTGGAGGTTGAACTAACTGTTGTGAAAAGTTTAATTCGTTGTGAGAAATGCACCAAAGCAACGGAGAAACACTGTAACATGAGGAATTGCTGTTTTGGATCCATCCCCTAGCGGATAAGAGTGGAACTGCAATTGCTGTCACTTCCCTGTTGGCTTCATAGTTAAAAAAAAACCGACCGCCTCTTGTGTTGAACTGACGATTAAAGTAGAACTACAATGAATAGGAGAAAAATAATAATAACAAGAATAACATTTGTCATAGAAGATAAACAATCAACACTCTGATGATGCAGAGATTAAAGTTTCACAATCAAATTTTACTTTGTAAACTCTAAGTATTTAGTTGCTTAAACAGAATAAAACACACATTTTTGTGTTTACTTTATTGATTTACTCATCAGAATAAACACTTAACAGTTGATTACCGATGCATCTTGTTTATTTACTCATTAAAGTTTTTTATGTTCTCCTAGGTCCAAACTCGTTTTGAATCTCAATCATTTTTTGATGACATCTCTGAAAATAGAAAGGTTAAAAAATCGTTGTGGTTGTTTAGAGAAGCAAACTTGCAACATGTTTCAGAGTTCACAAAATTGTTTTAACAAAAAGAACGTGTGTGGGGGGGTAGATAGATAGATAGATAGATAGATAGATAGATAGATAGATAGATAGTGTTTGCTCTCTTTGCTGTCCAGTATTGTAACTAAAATTAAGAGGTAAATATTTTTTAAATGAATGATTCAAGCATGAATGGATAGCAAAGTCAAGTTTATATTTCACCTTTGGACACTTGTGGCCTTTAAATTTTTACAGAAAGTTTTTCATGAGGGAGAAAAATAGGTGATTATGAGCCTACAACTCGTGAAGTCAGCAACTCCTCGGTACTTTAGATTTTGGGCCAAGCCCTCCCCATGATGCAGATTTTATTTTGAAATAAATGACTTTGGTGTGTGCTTTAGAATAAAAATGAATAACCTCCCTGCTTGTCACAGCCTGCACAATACGACTCAGGTTGGAGTTGTTTTATAGAGGCAGCAGCAGTTTGGAACAACTACCATGACAAAACAGGCCCACAAAACAGAGGGCGAGGCAGAGACAAATAATGATGTGTGTGTGAGAGTGTGTGTTTGCATCTGCGAGAGAGTGTGAGGGAGCTAATAAAGTAATGTGATGGATGATCTCCTTTCTCCCAG